AGGCTTCAAAATAATGCAAAAAAAACAAAATCCATTTTTTGAAAATTTCAGGGTGGCGTAACCCCTTAAGTCGTCACGTAACTCATTAGTAACGAGTTACTTTTCATACGACTTGTCCAATTCTAACGTTATCATGAAAAATTGTAAAATTATTATCAAATTGTTATTATATGAAAAGTAAAGGTAACAGTAACAGCATTACAAGTAACGCTTTATTTCCTATCCCTGATTTAAATTGTAAGTCGTCTCTTGAGCCTTCCTGCGAGTTAAATATATATACTCTAAAACGTAATCTCTTATATTCCATGGCATTAAAATATATTTCCTCGAACTACCTATTAGCAAAAAAAATGACTGTATAAAATCGAAAATATTTTGCCTAATTATTCAGTTTCCTAAAAATTCGATATGAATATTTACGCGATGATTCCATTTTGTTAATTAACCAAATTAATAATAGATAATATTAACCGAATTGATAATTGATAATAGAATATTATTTATTTGATTTATATTGATCTGCGTTTTTCTGACTCTTTGAGATATAAATTTTACATTTTTTAAACTAAGAAATACGTATTCAGTCCAGAGATACAGCGTGACAAAGTAGCAGAGTTTTACAGACCGTGCTGTAGCCGGAAAGGGAACCAAAAATAACAATAGCTTACTATGATTATCTAGCATTACAGTTGGAGAAATTACAAAGAACGTATTATCGTGTGTGTGAATATCATGTCATGTATACATTGATAAATATTCCAGTTGTTATCATTCTTGTTAATAATACCGTAAAATCGACTATTTCCATCGCAAGATCTATGTCGACTGAAACAGAGCTAAATTATTGACTTTATATTCCTTATCACGCGTTTATAACTTTTACAAATTTAATATTTAATAATGTTTTGCGTACTTGATGCTTACATGAAAGGTATTTGCGGAAGCGTCGCTACATGCTCAGTGCTACTTTGTAAGAATTATAAAGCGCAACTTCAATTAGAATACACGGTGAATATTTACCGGACTCACAATTAATTGTATATGATATTCAAACGGTCGTAATTTTTAATTTGGATTTAGAGCAATCGGAAAAATAGATATCAATAAAACAATCGCTTCTTAAATTATCAATTTATAAACGCTGTACGTGTAAAACGTTTTAGTAAGAAGACTTAAAGTACACAAATTAAAAAAAATCGTTATGTACAAATGTCTTGGAAAAAAAATATTAAGAAGAATTGAACTGAAAGTTTCCTAAAGAAAATATTTATAAATCATGAAACACAATATAGATAAATTGACAAGACCTAATGAAGAGAAGAAGTAGATATTAACTTATAATTCAAAAATTATAGAAAAGAAATAAAAGATAAGTTATTGCAAAAATGTCATCGATTAAGAATTCAATTTTCATGAATATCAATAAAACCTCCAATTTCTTTGGAAATATAAATAAAGAAAATTCAATTACGGAAAAAAATAGTGAACAGAAAATGAACAAAATAAAATCAGAGCTACATCGCGATTTATTTACGTTCAGAATATTAATAATATTCTTCAAGCTTATTGGTCTCGCTACATTCGCCCACCGAATCGTCATATGCAAAAAGAGAACATCATACATATTTCAATATTCCAAATTAGGAATCGTTTACAATGTTGTGCTGAGTAGCTTAATGATAGCTTCGAACTACATGTCTATACCATACAGACTTAATATTGACTACGATGACAAGACGCCTTTGACTGTAGGCATCGAGGTTCTGCAAACTATACTTGGTGCCCTAGTGATCTCCGCGATTTTGATTAGCTATTGCGTCGACCAGAAGTTCTTGGTGCGGATCGCCAATCAATTAATCACCATCGAGCACGAGATAGATCGTCTGTATGATCTATATTATCCGCTACAACGACAGCGTATCTTCTACACTATGATCATCGTTTGCATATTGAAGATTTGTGTGTTGATACTTCTCCTGTGTACTGAGATTCTGGGCATCCAAACGGGCCCAGTCTCATGGCTGACAGATGTTCTGCCAACATTTCACGTGAGTTGGCTACTGATACAATATTTCCTGTTGGTGACGGTCATTCAGGCAGATTTTGCTGATATAAATCGAGCGATACAAAGCCTTACCAGGATATATACACCTGATTTTCGACTGCAGTCTCTCTATCAAACGCGTCGTATCGTAATCAACAATTCGGCCGTTCATCAACTGTTGCAACTGCGAGATGTGCATTGTCATCTCTGTGAAATCTCTGAGAATGTATCGAGTTTCTATTCCCTACCAGTGCTATTCGGCATTGTTTTTCTCTTTCTGATTCTAATATATAATGGTTACTTTCTTCTCTCAACTCTATCGATGACTGTTAATGACTTAAATTATTGGACTCTTAGTAATGCTATCGTCTGGATAATATTTTCGATTTATCCTATCTTTCTCCTCACCAACAGAATTACCAGGATTTTAATCGAGGTAGGATAATTAATATAATAAGATCATATTTTAATCATATTTTAATCATATTATTTTAATTAATGAAACAAAATACTTTTATCAGTACATAAAATCCCATATATTTTACTAATATTTTAATTATAAATTTATTGTATAGATGAAAACAACGGGCAATATAGTGCATGATGTTTTAGACTGTGCAATCGGGAAAGAGACAAAAGCAGAGGTAAAAAACAAAGTTAGATAAAACTTTCTGAAAAATGGTGCTCGTTATTTATCGTCACAATATTTATCATAGATATGTTACAGCTCGAGAAATTTTCGCTTCAATTACTACATCGCAAAATACAGTTTACAGCTAATGGATACTTTACACTCGATAATACTTTTCTGCATTCGGTGGGAATATTTAGAATGCCCTGAAAGTAATTTAATATAAATAAAATTATTTTAATCAATAATTTTGATTATTTTTTTCAGCTAACTGGTACAGTGGTGACATATTTGGTAATACTTGTGCAATTTCAAATGGCAAGCTTGTCTCCATCGATTAAACAGCACTGTAACTCTACAGGACGAAATTTAAAATAAGAAGCGAAATAATAAATTAAAGATAAGAAAAAATATAATAAGTAAAAAATATCAAAACTTCTTAAATTGGAATTCATAATCCAATTAAATGCAATTAATAAACACACAGAATTGGAGTTTTGAAACTTCTTATTGTAACTTCCTAATCAGTTCTGATTTGTAAAACTAGAAAACAAAAAATGTAAATATATATATTGTATTTAAATTAATATTGTTATTTAATTTATTTAACAATTAAATTGAATAAGGCTTGCGATAGAATAAATAAATTAATATTATTAATTCTACTTGAGTAAAAAATTATTATAAACCAATATTCGGCGATTTTTAATAATTAATATCTTATTAACGATTGCGAAAATTGCAAAATGATAGAAGACTTTTTGACTCAATTTGGTCTTCTCTACCAGCACATGAAATATTTGATGATTAATCTGGGACACTTTGTATAGGCACACATTTTGTGATGTATGTATTTTGTAATGGAAAACAGTAAATTTTTCAGTTTTAATTGCTTATTATTTTTTTAAATTAATACAGTATGATTAAAAACATAATGACAGACATTAGGATGAGAAGTAATACAGTAATGCGGCCGGTTTTACTATATGAATCGTAGACGGTTGTGGGATTTGAAGTCATAGAAAATTAATCAATCATAATCGATTATTTTACTCATATTTGACTTTGATTGATTAATTTCTTATGATTTAAGACTCCAAGATTGGCTACGAATCTTATTGTAAATTTCCCATTATCATTTTTTATAACAACAATTTTATATTTACTTTACAATTTTTTTTTATGACAGTAACAATAACGCTAAAGAAAGTCATTTTTGAAGAATAATTTCTAATTAAAAACAAAAACTAAGTGAAAACATCTATACATTTTTATTAACGGTTTTCCAATTATTTGGAACTTTTTTCATTTTTTTTTCTTTCTCATTTTCCGTTTTCTTTCACATATCCTTGCAATTCTCATGCAATATTATTGAAGTGAAATTGGTTGTTACATAAGTAATTAGTAAAATATACTGTTTTGTAATAATACATACGACTATCTTATCGGGAATGAGAAATAGACTTTTATAAAATCACAATTGAATTTATTGGATATTATTGTCGTATCTTTGAATTATTTTTATGTACAGACAAGTTGAGACTATGAATGATGGATCTCATTTATAATTGTACAAATTGTTATGTACTCGCGAAGAGCGACGCGCATTGTTCGCTACATGTAATACAAATATAATACATTAAACGTAATAAATAAATGATAAGAGACATTTGTAGAAGAGTACAAGTTCGCTTTAAAAAATTTTTTTCTATCTTTTAAACTTCTAACGAGATTCGCTTCAAATATCGTTTTCTTTCAAAGAGGTGTTTCACCTCTTATGAATTAGCATACATATAAAAGAATATGTCTCTTAGATTTTCGTGTTTTACAATATATTTCATGGAGAATTAAATCGTTTCCAGATAGTTGTGAAACTTCTCTTGTGAGTAACGCTCATGGTAACGCAATTACATTTTTGAGGTAACGATAACGACTTTACTAGTTATTTTTATCGTTACTTTATTTCTAACTACGTAAAAGTTTAGTTGTAAATATAGCTCTAGAAAACAGAAATGAAATATTAACGATCTGATTAACTGTCTAAATCACGCGATCCCAACGGCTTTTTTTTATTGTATTCACAGTTCACACGTACACATAAATTAACTTTCTATATACAACATGTGGTGATGAGATCACGTGAGATTCTACGCCAATAAATATTGTGGAATAAAGATTATATAATAATCTTTACAGTATATTTAATTTCTTAAAATAAAATTTTGTCTGTATCATATCTCACAAATTAAATATATGTTTGTAATGCAGATTATAAACAATATTATTTTTTTATTATAATATAATTTTACCCTTAAAGTATTCACGATGAGTCATTCGTATCTTGTTTGTTTCCTTCGAAATACTGCACATGAATAAATAATTCTTTTTATTCTTTCCTTCTTTTTAAATATACAACTTCAGAAATGTTTTTTAAAGATGTAACTTTGTTTCTAAAATTTTTATTTATGCGCAAAAGTGCTCGTCGAGGCAATCAAGCTGAACGCAATAATACATGTAGGTAATCGAACTGTAGGCAAAAGTGATGTAGGCAAACGATAGGCAATCGATTTATAAGCAAATTATCTAAAAAATTATGACAAGATTACATACTATGTAGAAAAAATTCTGTTTAAACACAATCGTATTGATGTGATAGTATAAACACGAAAAAAAGTATATAATATAATAGAGAAAAACGAATCAGCTTTAAATTAAAAATTATCGCAAGAATAATCGTCTGATTTAAAATTGAATTTTTACGAATGCTTAGAAATATTTAATATTATCAAAAACTTACATAGATTAACGTTATAAATTTATTAATATTTAAAAGATTTTTAAGTCTATATGTTTATACAGATACGACTTTAGATGAATAAACTTGAAGTAATATAAAGTTCTTTTTGGCATAAAAGGAATATTTCATGTAACTGCGAACCGTGCATAAAATGTATGTTCTCATTATTTTAAAAGAAGTTTGCTAAAGCGGCAGAAGTTAATTTAATGCTAAAATGTTTTTACATAATCCATAAGGACTCCAAATGATGATAATAATGTTGACATTAGTGATTATATAATATTGACATTGATAACTATACTACAATGCAACTATGCAGGACTATTATTTTGAGAGAAAATGAATAAATTCGCGCTATAATTAACTAGCAGTTAATTTTTAAATCTAAGTTAATATCTACTTCTTTTCTTCATCAGGTTTTCTCAATTTATCCATATTGGCTTATATTTCACGATTTACAAATATTTTCTTTAGAAAACTTTCGGTTCAATCTTCTTAATATTTTTTTTTTCAAGACATTTGTGTATGAAAATTTTTTTAAATTTATATACTTTAGTATTCTTTATTAAAACGTTTCACGCATACATCATTCATAAATTGATAATTTAAGATAAATTGAATTGATAATTTAAATCTATTTTATTTTCGATATCTGTCCCATTGTTTTGAATTAAAATTAATTCGTGTATTCTAATTGACGTTGTGCTTTATAATTCTTACGAAGTAGCACTGAGCATGCAGCGATGGTCCCGCCAATATCTTTCTCGCAAACATCACGTCTGCAAAACATTATTAAATATTAAATTTGTGAACATTATAAACGCGTGATAAAGAACATAAAGTCGATAATTTAGCTCTGTTTCAGTCGACACGGATCCTGCGATAGAAATGCCAATTGTTACGCTATTATTGTTAGAATGATATTCACTGAAATATTTATCATCTGTATATATGACATGATATATATACACAATAATACATTTTTCATAATTTCTTCAACTAGTATTATTGTGTATATATATCATGTCATATATACAGATGATAAATATTTCAGTGAATATCATTCTAACAATAATAGCGTAACAATTGGCATTTCTATCGCAGGATCCGTGTCGACTGAAACAGAGCTAAATTATCGACTTTATGTTCTTTATCACGCGTTTATAATGTTCACAAATTTAATATTTAATAATGTTTTGCAGACGTGATGTTTGCGAGAAAGATATTGGCGGGACCATCGCTGCATGCTCAGTGCTACTTCGTAAGAATTATAAAGCACAACGTCAATTAGAATACACGAATTAATTTTAATTCAAAACAATGGGACAGATATCGAAAATAAAATAGATTTAAATTATCAATTTATCTTAAATTATCAATTTATGAATGATGTATGCGTGAAACGTTTTAATAAAGAATACTTAAAGTTTATAAATTTAAAAAAATCTTCATACACAAGTGTCTTGAAAAAAAAATATTAAGAAGATTGAACCGAAAGTTTTCTAAAGAAAATATTTGTAAATTGTGAAATATAAGCCAATATGGATATTGAGAAAACCTGAAGAAAAGAAGTAGATATTAACTTAGATTTAAAAAATTAAAGAAGATATATAGTTATTGCAAAAATGTCTTCAATTAAGAATTCAACTTTTATGAACGTCAACAAAACCTCCAATTTCTTTGGAAATATAAATAAAGAAAATTCAATTGCGGGAAAAAATAGTGAACAGAAAGTGAACAAAATAAAATCAGAGCTACATCACGATTTATTTACGTTCAGAATATTAATAATGTTCTTCAAGCTTATTGGTCTCGCTACATTCGCCTACCGGATCGTCATACACAAAAAGAGAACGTCATATACATTTCAATATTCCAAATTAGGAATTGTTTACAATGTTGTGCTGAGTAGCTTAATGATAGCTTCAAATTATTTGTCTATACCAGTCAAACTTAATTGGGACTACAAGGTCGAGTCGAATTTGACTATAGACATCGCGGTTCTACAAACTGTACTTGGTACTATGGTGATCTGCGTGACTTTAATTAGCTACTGCATCAACCAGAAATCCTTAGTGCGGATCGCCAATCGGTTAATCATCATCGAGCACGAGATAGATCGTCTGTATGATCTATATCATCCGCTACGGCGACAGCGTATTCTCTGCACTATAATCATCGTTTGCATCTTGAATATTTGCCTTCTGATACTTCTCCTGTTTAATGATAACCTGACGTTGGGTACGGGCCCAGTCTCATGGCTGACGGATATTCTGCCGACATTTCATGTGGGTTGGCTACTGATACAGTACTTTCTGTTGGTGACGATTATTCAGACAGATTTCGCTGATGTGAATCGAGCGATACAAAGTCTCACTATCGATACATCTGATCTTCGACTGCAGTCTCGCTATCAAATGCGTCGTATCATAGTCAACAATTCGACCATTCATCAACTATTGCAACTGCGAGATATGCATTATCATCTCTGTGAAATCTCTCAGAATGTGTCGAGTTTCTACTCCCTACCAATACTATTCGGCATCGTTTTTCTCTTTCTGACTCTAATATATAATGGTTACTATCTTTTCTGGATTCTATTGATAACTGATGATATCTTAGATTATTGGACTCTAAGTAATGCTATCGTCTGGATAATATTTTCGATTTATCCTATCTTTCTCCTCACCAACAGAATTACCAGGATTTTAATCGAGGTAGGATAATTAATATAATAAGATCATATTTTAATCAAATTGTTTTAATCGATGAAACAAAATATTTTTACCAGTAAATAAAATTCCAAATATTTTACAAAATATTTCAATTACATATTTATTGTAGACGAAGAAAACGGGTAATATAGTGCATTATCTTTTAAACTGTGCAATCGAGAAAGAGATAAAAATAGAGGTAAAAAACAAAGTTACATAAAACTTTCTCAGAAACGGTATTCATCGTAACGGCATTTATAATAGATATGTTACAGCTCAAGAAATTTTCACTTCAATCGCTACATCGCAAAATACAGTTTACAGCTAACGGATACTTTTCGCTCGATAATACTTTTCTACATTCGGTAAGAATATTTAGAATGTCCTGTGAGTAATTTAATATAAATTAAATTTTTTTAATCAACAATTTTGATTATTTCTCTCAGCTAACTGGTACAGTGATGACATATTTGATAATAGTTGTGCAATTTCAAATGATAAGCTTGCGTTCATCGATCGAACAGCAATATAACAATACAGGGAGAGAGTTAAAATAAGAAGCAGAATAATAAATTAAAGGTAAGAAAAAACATAATGAGAAATATCGTAGCCTCTTAAATTGAGATCTAAAATTTAATTAAATGTAATTAATAAACACGCAGTATTGCAGTTCTAAAACTTTTTATTGTAACTTTCTAATATATACGATCAGTTTTGATTTAAATAAACCAAAAAATGTAAAATAAATTAAAAAATGTAAATATATATATTGTATCTAAATTAATATTGTGAATTAATTTTTTTAACAATTAAATTGAATAAGACTCGATAGACTAAATTAATTAATAATATTAATTTTACTTAAGTAAAAAATAATTAGAAACCAATATTCGATTTTTAGTAATTAATATCTTATTAACTATTGCAAAAATTGCAAAATAATAGAAAACAATTAATTTTTGACTCAATTTAGTCCTCTTTATACCAATATATAAAATATTTGGCGACTATTCTAGACACTATTATAGGCACACATTTTGCGATGTATATATTTTGTAATGGAAAACAGTAAATCTTTCAGTTTTAATTGCACATTATTTATTTAAAGTAACACAGCATGATTAAAGACATAATGACAGGCATTAGCTACTTTCCTTGTCAACTCGGAAACTAATTTCCGAGACGCAGTCTTTTCTACCTAATCACAACCATTTAATACTACATCGGCGAGTATAGCCCATCCACCATCGTGAATTTCGCTGTGATACGCATGAAACCGTAATCTTATAAGATCACTGGGAAAGAGTATATTTCTCCTAACTCATTGAAGATCACCGTTGAAACGCATTAGCACACATATCATACATTTTTTATTATATTATTCTTATATTATACATTATATTCATGAATTTTATTATTTGCACGTTTATTTTTGCACCTAATATTGCGGCATGCGTTCCCCTCTCTTTTGTATTTATCTCATTACGATACAATACTCTGGACTCCAAATATTACTTCATACAGAGTTAATATTATGTAACCTCCGCTTAATGAATATATTTTATGTATGATTTTAAATGACTCACATATACACAGGTTTACGCATTCTTTACGTAAAAATATACTTAAAAGTATGCGCAACATTATTTTCCAATACGATGTTAATGTTTCATATTATTTTAACCAGGGATAGGAAGTAATACGTAATGCGGCCGGTTCTATTATAGGAATCATAGATAGTTGTGGGGTCTGAATTCATAGAAAATTGACAATTATAGTCGATTATTCTACTCATATTTGATTCTGATTGATCAATTTTCTACGACTTAAGATTCCAAGATCGTCTACGACTTTTATTGTAGATCTCGCATTACCATTATTTTTTATAATAACAATTTTATATTCACTTTACAATTTTTTTTACATGACAGTAACTATATAACGCTAAAGAAAGTCACATTTGAAGAGTAATTTGTTACCATTACTGATTAAAAAATTAACTTATTACTTCACACTTCGCATCAAAATAACGTATTACTGTAAGTCGTCACGTAACTTATTATTAGTAACAAGTTACTTTTCATAAATGACTTGTCCAACACTGACGTTATTACCATCATGAAAAATTGTAAAATCATTATCAAATTGTTATTGTAGGAAAAGTAAAGATAAGAGTAACGGCATTACAAGTAACGCTTTATTTCCTGTCCCTGGTTTAAATTCTAGATTTTCCCTTGTATCTGCCTACGAGTTAAATACATATATTGTAAAACATAATCTCTTTTATTTCATGGCATTAAAATATATTTTCTCAAACTGTAAGCCAAAAAATGAATATATAAAAAGATATATCATAAATATTTTGCCTAATTAATCAATTTTTTATAAATTCCATATGAATATTTACGCGATAAATGATTGCATTTTAATAATTAGCCGAATTGTGGAGTCAAATTTGTACTAATGAAATCCTTAATCATCAACATATCGCAGATCGTTTGAGAAAAGATTTTTTCTATTTAATACATTCTGGATTCGTAAAAGTTACTTGTTAATGCAAATATTTAATTAAAAACCTTCAAAATTATTAATCTCTGTTATGTTTTGTAAGTTTAATATAAAATATGGATTATAATTTAATAAATTATTAAACTGCATTGAAAAATAATTTCTTTTATAAAAAGCGTACACTTATAAGAATTTTCATTTAATTAATTTAAATAACAAACTTACTCTTAATTAACAAACTGTTTACATTATTTAACAGAATATCTTCATTGCTATTTAGGAAATAGTTTATGGTTAAATAATTATCTAATAAATATTATGTATCGTAGACTGTACAGAGATTGATGGTATTTTTTTTTTCTTTAATTACGAACAATAACAGATATCCTTCAAGGGATTGTTTTATCACTCTATATATTACATATATATCTTTATAACACGTAAAATTGTTGTAAAAAATTTTGCAATAAAGAAATTAATTTCACTATAATTAGAATCTTTTTAATATTGTCACAATTGGATATGCCCAAATATTGAAAAAGTTATGATAATAGAAAATTTTGAAATTCAACGCGCAAAATCTTGGCTAGACTAAAATTTTAAGAAGTAACAAAAATCTGCTATGTATCTTTTAATAAGTATGTTTGAGAATAAACTTTTTTATCTAAACTAATAGAGTATTAGTAAGAAAACATTTCTTTCAAGTTAGTTTCGATTATTTTTATAAGACAAGAGATTATTTTATGAATGTTTCGAAGAGGATTGTTCCATAGTTCTTTATTAAAAGGCCTCTTGTAAAAGTTGCAACATAATAGTATTTTTTTAAACCAAAAAAGTCAATATTATTCTGTAATTTGGGGATAAAGAACAAACTTATACATATTTCTTTTCCTGTTTTTTTGCTCTTCAAATAGTTTCCACAGTTTTTATCGGCCCTCAAGGTATTGTATTAATATTATTAGAGAAAGTGAATAAAAAATATTTAAGTAATTTTCCTCATAAAAGGTATTACAATCAAAAATTTTTTTCTTTTTAGAGTGCACAACCAGCTTGCAATAATGTAAGAGATATCCCTCGAAGGAGGTATATGCATTCGTATTACAGATTGTGGGGTTTTTTTGGCATATATACACAGTATCATTACAAAGTTACTTGAACTACTTAATCGCAGGATCATATATTATTGCATGGTAACACAATATTCTTACTTAATTTTTATGATTCATATAATAACATTTGACATATATATTCAACTTAAAATTATAGTTGTCAATATTCAAATATTCGAATAATTACAACTTTATACACACACTCGATTATTCGGCTCATGATATTTGGACATCTGTGCTATACTATGCTACTATTATTATACTATTATTTATTTCATTCATATCTATAAGAGTGAAAATTATCGATATTAATCATTCGAATATTTGAATGTGTTGGAGTTTGAATAATTCGCCAGAAAGAGTGATTTTCCATGAAAATTCTAATTTTACTTTGCAATTCGCATGTTTTATAAATGCCACGTATGTATTCGTTTATATCATATCACGATTTGGAAAAATGTGCGTTTTTCACAACTTTCTAGCATAATTCTTATTGACTCATAGATCAATAATTGTCGTCAATCTAGACTTCTAGACCATATTATCTAAAGAAGATGCATAGCAGTATACGAGATCTTTTTAGATTTTATCATATTTTATTTGCCATTGTTACATTAAAACGTAAAAACATCTATACGCTATTATTAACGTTTTTCCAAGTATTTAGAATTTTTTCAATTTTTTTTTCTTTCTCATTTTTCGTTTTCTTTTACGTATCTTTGCAATTTACATGCAATATTAATAAAGTGGAATTGGTTGTAACAATAGTAATTACTAAAATAGACTGTTTTGTAATAATACATACTACTTTATCGGGGATGAGAAAAAAACTTTCATAAAATCACAATTGAATTTATTGAATACTATTGGCGAATCTTTGAATAATTGAATTGTTTTTATGTACAAACAAGTTGAGACTATGAATGATAGATCTCATTTACAGTTGTGTACAAATTGCAGTGTACTCGCGAAGAGCGATGCGCATTGTACATATAATACAAATATCATTTAATTAAACGTAATAGATAAATGATAGGAGACATTTGTAAAAGGGTACAAGTTCATGAGAATTAAATGGCATGATCTATGACTCTCATCTTATATATGTTATGTCGGTTAAATGGCAATTCATAAGAAAGAAATTGCAGAGTAAAAGTTCTAAAGATGAAAGTTTTGAAATAGAAACTGATACATTGCATTAACATTTGTTTGTTTTTGCTATCCTCTTGTTAAACGGAAGTTTCGGCTGAGGTAGTACCATTTGCTTTTAAAGGACTGATGCTTTCCTTGGATCGTATTAAATCTACCTGAAATATCGAATTAAAGTATATATTAATTTTTTTTAAGTTAATCCTTAACGTTAATCCTACGACTTCTTTTAATAAACTTTTTTCAATAATCTTCTTTATATGCTTTTCCTTAAAAAAGCGAATAATATATAAAATATTGAATTGCGTTTATTGATTAAATATGATTTCATAAATTATCTAAGAATTTATAAAATTCACATATTAGACGTCATGTATATATATATATATATACACAGGTGTCCCATTTAAATCTGGCGGCACACTATTTTTGCGTATTTACTACCATATTGTGCCAGCACCGCAGCTAATACGATAGCAAGTACGCAAATAGCAATCCAACAGGAAAAAAAAATTATCTGCCACCGACTTTATATGACTTTTTTTTTATATCTTTAAATTTTTTATATCTTTAAAGAATCTCAAAAATCAATGGTTTACGAGATATTTTATATTTTATTCCAGCATATTTTGATATAAAATATGAATATCTTTTAATAAACTATTAATTTTTTGACAAACGTACCTTAATGTTCAGTCAGAAATGATAATGGAATTGACATCGATTAAACGTCGTTAAATTATCAAATTGACATCGAATTGACATCGATTCCATAAATCCATTATCATTCTGTCGATTCCATTATCATTTCTGGCTGAGTATTCTTATGTGTAAAATAATGATAACAAATCAATTGATGTCATGAAAACGCATAATTAATTTTTTTAAAAATTGTACAATTTATTAAATGCAATTAGGGATGATCGTATTAAGTGGGACCCTTTGTGTATATTACGTATAAAGAAATAAACACAAATATACAAGTATATATAAAAGATACATACACTAAAATATTATATAGCTAAACTATATTATACAGTATTTACAATACTGTATAATATACAGTATTATAATAAATACATGTACGTATATGCTATATTTTTTGAAAATTATCTTTTACTTATAATAACATTTTTTGCTTTTTTGATATCCCATAATGGACCAATTTTAATGACAATTTTATTTTAATAAATTTACGATAATAAATTTTTTATATATGCATCTCGTCGATATAACGAAAAGATAAAATTTTTAATGTTCATGCAAGATGCGATTAAAGCTGAAAGCAATAAAAGAAAGGAACATGCGATTAGAGAGAAAGAGAGAGGAAGTGAAACATTTCTCATTTTACGAAGTGAGAAAACGTTATATTATTCTGTTTCTTCGTAAATTTGTATATTGTGCTCTGTATTTTTTTGCCAATTATTAACAATAAGCTGCACGATTATTATTTTTATTTAAATAACTATATATAATAGTAATACTAATGTGAAATACAAATAGATGAAATGAATCATAGCTAACGTCTTCCCATATCGTTTAATTATTTCGTTGTTCCCATTAACAATGAGCTAACATATGCATCTCTAAGAGCATAAGCAAGAGTTGCAAATTGAATCTCATAGACAATTACGCTATGAAAAAGACAGAACATAATTAATTATATGATCGTAGATGATAAACAGATTCTTATAACAATAATAAATTTAAAAAACGTTTCAAAATTTATATTTTCTTGAATATTTCGCTGATTTCGCATAAATACGGTGTAAATTTACGGGGAAGTAAAAGAATAAAGACTGTCATGAAATTATGTTTATTCGTGAATATTTTAATACGTTAATATTATCATTAATATTTTATATATGTTTAATTTTTATTGTCATTTTTATATTAATAAAAAATAAATTTTGTCGTCTATGAAAATTCATGTTTTCTACAATGAGTCGTCCGCGTCTGAATTTGCTTTTTACGTCGACTCGACGAGGATTGTCATGCCATCCTCGTTTGTAAATTTACTCACAGCGGCGGTGCATGGGATATGTTGCATGCCGATATATTGGTGCTCTTGCTGTGTATCTTGCCATATAAATTGTCGGTTTTTTGGTGATGGTGATGGTAGTTAGAATTTAGAGTCATTTACGTGTGTCACCTTGATCGAGATCCCACTGTCATCTTCGTCCTCTTCGGTCATTGTCGTCAGCCTCGTTGTCTCATCGGCCATCAACGAGTTGTCCTTCTTTGGATGCTTCTTTTGCTTTCCCACACTGTGTCAGGCAATTACGCGAACTTAATCAGTTTTAAAAATTAGATGATAACAGTTTGATGTTGATACTTATATTATTCTTTTCTCTTTTTACTCGAAAATTATCAATATTATAGGATCATCATCATTATTATAAAAAAAAATTTGACATTACGAAGATATAGATATAGAATATATTTTAACTTTATTTCTTTTATATTTTTTATAAGAAATATTAATTTATTATT